AGATAGAGGTAAGTAAAAAGTAGAGAAAAATTCAAGGACTCCAGGATTGGACTCCAAGAATGAGGATATACAATAAAAAAACATGCGTCTGATGATGATCTCTCAGTGCAGGGTTATCATATAGGCTACTGTGTGACTATAAATAAATGTAAATGTTGCTTTAGCAAGAGTTGACACAAATCTTGAAAATAAAGATAAAATACTGCTTGAGTTACTGCTTGTCAAAACCTTGTAGTCAGTGTTTATATTTCCGAATCCTAATTAAAGGAAAATTAAACAAAAGGTTTAAAGTTACAGTGTGCAATTTTTGTCCTCCAATTTGCAATTACAATTTAATAGTCATGTTTTGATTGCCTTTATTTCTTTACATGTCCAGTCAGTTCCCTTGACCAAGGCACTGGCTCAGATCTGCTGTTGGACCCTAACCCATATTCAGATCCTTTACTTACAATGTAAAACACTCATAAAAGAAATGAAAATTATACTTTATTTCTATTTATTTATTTATAAGGACAGCACACATTAATCAACATTACTGTAAATGTGCCAGTGTTTTCAACTGCAGTCCTTCAGTTTTGAAACCTTAAAGTAGAAGTAGAATAGTAGCACCTAACAGTGTGTTACATAAAACATTAATGAATTATTATTATTTACGCATCCAAATGTACATCCCAACAAACACTTTAACTTCTTTTTTTTCTGATTAGACTTGTTGTGGAACTCCAAGCAGGTATAAGCAGTGTGGGTATGCACAGCCTTTCACCTATATTAATACACCATCATTTAAAGGTCGCTCATACATTTTGTGCATAAAATCAAAGTAATATAGCAGTCAGATAGATGTGGAATAAAAAAGAAATATTAGCAGCATAATTTAAAACAACTGAAGAAAAGGACCTCAGAATTCTACCTGAGTAAATGTACTTAGTTACTTTGCACCGTGGGTTAGGTTAGGCAACATCTTTTTGCTTAGAATTTCCTCAGCCGGTAAACCCTGTAACCCTGTAAATATAAAATCAAGTGATGAGCTTCTTTAATACAGCTTACAAAATGAGACACAAAGTAACCTGCTCGGACAGCAGGTGCACATGAACAAGCCCATGTGCAGGAGGATTTCAGACGTGCCTAAGCTTAGTGACTTTACAACAACAATGCAGGCACGCCGGCCACACACTCTTTGTAATTACTCTCGTCACATTACCTTCCCAAGTGCTACATGAGCTCCTTACCCACCGATGATACCACATAAATGTAGACTTTCCATAACAAAATTAATCTCTCAAAAGCTGGATGGATTCGAGAAAACATGGATTTGCTCTTCTGTCACAGAGGCATATTGTCCACTTTGATGGTGCATGGGAGGATATAAAATACCCTCCTCGCTGCCACACTCCAGATGGAAGAAAATAGGCTGTGGTCTATAAAAATGAAGTTATATGTAAGTACAGCACTCAAATCTTGGGGCGAAAAAATGCTTTTTCTGGGGCATTTTGTTGTTGTCAATTGGTCTGAGCAACTTGCTGTAATGCAGGTAATGGAGCTACTCTTCTCCTTTCATCTTCGGGGTTTGTGCGTGTGTGTGTGTGTGTGTGTGTGTGTGTGTCAAAGCAAAGGGAGGCCTGGATGAATATAGGAAAGAGGTACAACAGGAGGAAACACAACCAGATGATGGTCAGAATGAAGGAAACATCAGGTGAGAGCACAGTGTGATCTGCCAGCTGAAAGTATGGTGTTATAAACAGCATTGTAACAAATGAATAAGAATGAATGGTCTTTGATTTCGAAGTCATGATTGAAAAACTATCAGCATCATCCTTTACATCTAGAGCAACAGGCATCTCTTATCCATATTTTCTCTGCTTATAATGTTTACACTTGACTACACGTACAAAGTGTGCTTATCTTTCCCTCACTGCTCCCTATTCAGAAATGACAGAGAATTCATCTATTTGCAGACTTTCCAAAAATATCCAACTCATTCCTTTTTAAAGCTGCCAAGTTGTAAGCACAACTAGGAGATATCTAAAGTTGTTATGGCAAATGTTGCTTATTTACGCATCCTGCAGCCACAGAGCATCCTACATTAGCTCTCCTTGCTCTTTCCAACTCATAGGAACATATCTGGCTCTTTAACTCCACTAAAGTATGTATACCAGCTACTCTCTGACTTATCTGTCTGCTGTTTGGTGCTGGGCAGGTCGTGTACAGGGTTTATCGTAGCGTTTTTCTTCAAACAGCTGTGGCTCAAAACCACTCTAATTATAGTGGTGACAGTGAACCAAAACTGAAAAGTAGCACTGAGGGGAACTGCAGCGTCATTTCACATTAGTCATCTGACAATTGAAAAAATACTGATTATGGCAGGCAGTTCTTTCCAACTGACCCGCCTGTTTGGTTTGAATGTAGTCAGTGATTGGAACCACATGACAAAGTTTAATTCTGTTTCCTTTGCTGTCAGTGATCAGGGATGGGCAGTATTTATGATAAATGTATTTAATATATGTATTTCAAATACAAAATAGGATTTTGATAAGGTTGATGGAAATTGCTTCATATTTTGTATCAAAATACTTTAGTGTTTTGTATTTTGTAATTTAAAAATACCGTGAAATACTTTGTGAGATTGCACCCCTACTTAACTACAAATGATTTAACACCATATATTAAATGCGATTTTATTTAAGCTGATATGAACTCATTTTCTAACATTCTTTTCTTTCTAAAAGCAAACTCAGTAGTATGTGTGTATAACTTTGAATCATATGAACCTTCATTCCTTTCTCAAACTGACTTGAAATGTAAAAGCACAAACACTTACTTGCTATGCAGAACCATCAACATATTTTCTCCTATGGATATGTGGAGAGGAAATGACAGGTGTAAATGATAATTTACAAGGAAAAGCAATCCAAATATGACTTCATAACTTGCAAAGCTACAGTATATGCCATAAAAATGCATCTTTAAAAATCTTAAGACTCAATATTTAACAGAAGAGATTACAGATGGAATGAGGGCTGGTGATTTAGATGGTCATCTTGATCACTTATTGATCAAAATAAATCAGGAGGAGGAGATGAAATGCTTAAAGAATAAAAAAATGTTCTTGCTGGAAATTTGGAGATGTTTGCTATGACTAAAACTGAAGCAAAACCATCACAAGATAAACTGTAACAAGAGCAACCAATATAAAAAGGTATAATTTATTTAGTCAAAAAGTTCAAACTTAATAGGATCTTTTGGAGTTAATAGGACTGTTTAAACAGTGTGACAATGTTGATTTTAAAATTGGACAGAAATCAGAAGCAAAGCAACCAACGACTCATTTAATCAATTTAATGCCTGGCTTCCCCTCAACTAAAGCCAGTTCAGCCCTCTACTTTCAATCAAAACCATGCAGTCATCAGTATTACTTCAGCTTGCCAAGCTTCGGACGTTTCTGTTTTTTCAGCAGATTCCCAAACCACAAAACTGGTGGGTGCTGATTGGCCAGTGGTCAGCCTGGCCTATTGTCTCAGCGCAGTGATTGTTGAAGCCCCAGTTTCTCTCTATTCACCCCGTCAAACGCTAGTGCTATTAGCCTGCTGGAAATCTGCCTGTGTTGATATTATAAGATCTTGTTGTATTTTGTCAGGTAACCCTGTTTTCATAAACATCTTCATTAAAGGGATTGATTAAGGTAAGATAATTCTGAATGCTGTTGTCCAAAAACTGTTGCTGTTAGTTATTTGTGGTTTGTTTGCTTCTGTTTTCCCATGTGGAGACACAGCTCCAGCTTAAGAGCTCCATGAGAAATCATCACTGCCATCACTGTATCAGAACATTTACATACCAGTTTTTGTCTCACTATATTGTGTTTTAAAATGTCTTAATATATCTGTCTCAAAAGTTTTCACTCTCCAGCCGATTACGTACAAATATGAATAGCTTATGTGTACATGTACTGCAGTGCAGTGAATGACAAGGCATTAAAACCAGTCTCGTGTTTCAGTGACTAAAAGAATGAAAACTAAAGATGGACAAATGTAAGCCTTATTCTAAACTGATTGCCACGCAGGTATGGTAGAACAAGGGGACATGATTTGTGTCAATGAAAAGATTGTAAACAAACATTCACAGCCTTTCTCTGCATCTTGGTGGGTCCGATTTCCCTGGTGCTTCACAGATATGTAAGTGAGAGTTAAATAATTCATTGGGAAAAAGTTGAGTTATGTGATTGTGTGATTGAAAGGAAACAGTCAGCCTCGAGGTCAGTGCCAGTCACAACCAAGGCCTTTGTGTGGATGAGAAGAAAATGTACTTAACTGCTTGTTTCAGGGGGTTTTATCCTGGCTTGGAAGAAAATGACTGCCTAGGAAAATATTAAATCCAACTGGCTGATATGCCACATAACATTGACATTCTGAGACAATTTTCATTTGTTTTATGTGCTGGGGATCAAATGGATTCAAAAAGTGCTCCAGGTTAGATTGAGACAGCTGCTGGAACTTGCCAGAAGGGGATGCTCAGAGAGAAATGTGATGCAGCGGAAATACAGAGCTCTTCAATGAATACACAGCGCTCTTCAACGAGCATCCCGTTCAGGTTTGAGACATAACAAGATATATCTATCTATCATCCATCCCCAGCAAAAAAAATCTGAGAGGATGGCAGCAGGATATTGCATCCAGGTGGAACAATGAGCAATAGATGTATCAAGTATCAAAGCATCGCTGGACTTGATAGAGGCTGGATGTGTGTGTGTCTGTACTGAGGGTGGGGGTGTATGTAAAGCCCATCTTCAGGGACTGATCTCCTAGAGAACAAAGTGGAGCATACACACACAGGCGACCCCGCAGCTCAATCCGGTGGAAATAATATGTTCATTACAACGCAATTACTGACACTTAGACCCTCTCTCCCTGAAGTGTGTGTTTGAGGTGGAGAAAGGAGGGGGCCCTGCCACTGACCGCTGATGCTAAGTGACCTTCTGTTCCTCTGTATGTGTGTGTGCCTCCAGGTGCAGGATGTACAGCTTTATGGGTGGAGGGTTGTTCTGTGCAGGAGTGGGGAACATCCTCCTGATTGTTTCCACAGCAACCGATTACTGGATGCAGTATCGGCAGTCCAGCAACTACATGCATCAGGGCCTGTGGCGTTACTGTATGCCAGGGAAATGCTTCCCGCACAGCGACAGCATCGGTAAGTGTAGCCAAGGAGGGTTCACGTCAAGAAAAAAAAACAACAAAACACTTACTTTCAGTTAGCTCTACAAACATTTCTGAAAGATGGAACTGTTCCAGAGGCATTTCAGCTTTTTCAGTGTGTTATAAGCTAGCAAGAAAAATGATCTGCATTTTATTTCTGTATTTTGTACAATTGCAAAATAATTTGCATAATAACATCTCATCTCTTCCCCTTTTCACTGGAGTTCCAGAACGTTACAGAAATGTGATGTTATACATATGATTTTCATATCACATACTACAAAAATGAGAGCCTGTTTTTCAGTCTGTTAAACTGTGATTACACCAAGATTGTTTACTTTTTTAGTTATGGTCATGGTTAAATGACGCAGTACTGTCAGTCTGTAAATTGTAGTTTGTTGTTTCTTCTTATTGAGTTTAACTCAACTTGCAAGACTGCCAGTGAGTGTTAAATACAACTTTATTCTGTATTAGAGTGTGTTATGTGTTTGATCGCTTTTGTTAAAGACAACTTGGTCATTTATAATATCGCATCTCTATTTTTTTTCTAAAAGATGTTTATCGTTCTTCATCATATTGGCTTGTTAACACGGCCTGAACATGGTCACATCTCAGATCATTCACCTCATTGACTTGCACTGACCCCTCCAGTGACTCCTATTGACCTATGACCTTGTCCACAGCCCACTTAGACGCCACCCGTGCCCTCATGATCCTCTCTCTTTTGGCCTGTTTCATTGGCATCATCATTGGCATTATGGCCTTCATTCATTACTCCTCCTTCGACAGGTTTGACAAAACCTTTGCTGCAGGCATATTGTTTTTCATCTCATGTGAGTTCAACTCTTTTGTTTTTGCACTTTGTTGGTTTGGTTTGAGCTGTAATATGCATTTGATTTGACCTTAATTTATTGTATTGACTCAAGGCAGGTTTTTGACAATAATTAAAAATAAAATGTACTGATTATGAACTAATCATTTTTTAATGATTCCCTTAAGCATTATTTTCATTTTCCTTTTTTTTCCTGCCAGGCTTTTTAGTGTTTCTAGCAATGGCAGTGTACACTGGTGTGACTATTAACTACTACGGAAAACGCTATGGAAACTGGAGGTTCTCTTGGTCCTATATCATTGGCTGGGTGTCAGTGGTTCTCACCTTCTTTTCAGGTAAACATGCAACCCAACAAATCAAACTGCATTAGTTGTCCTCTGCTTCACAAAGGTGCTCTCAAATTTAATTTGTCAGGCTTCCACTCATAGTGTGTTCAGTCACTCAATAAAATTCAGTGACACTTGGCGCTTTCTGCTAAATGTTCTTTTCAAGCTATAACCAAGAGGGAGTTCCTGGATAAAAAACTACTGCACTCAGTGATTGTGAAGGCTAGCCATGACTAGCAATAGGCTCAAATACTCCTTCTATTTATAATTTATTTTACACTATATCATGTAATACCATTTGAAAATTCAAATGTGGTAGAGTAAATAAAGTTGTAGTCACCTCCTGATAATGCCAAGGCCTCCAGTACCTGTACTATATGTAATAAAGAAAACAAAAACTGCAGAAAGTATGTAATACAATATAATGACTCACTTCCTCAGCAGAAAATAGTCAAACCATACATGGGTTAACCCATAGCAAAGCAGCTGAATTAATGATGTGACATTATCAGTAAGTGATACTTGCAGTAAGTGCTCATCTCTGAATCCTCCACCATGCTGTGCAGAACCTGCTGTTCAGCAAGCCACTATACTGAATATGAAAATGTTTTTTGAGGGGAACAGCATCCATTTGCCAAAAATACCATGACGTCAAACTGAGACTGAAAATATCATCATAATACAAAGTAGAACTACTATAACAAATACTTTCTATAGTATTTTTCATAATTTGCATGCATCAATTTGGATGTGGAAGTGGCTATCAGTTTTGTATGCATTACAAAGGTTTTTTTAACATAGCACAGGACATACAATATGTGTCCCAATCAGTTAAGTTGGTGACTTCTATATAAACAAAGAAGCCAAATAGAATGCAACATTCAATGTTTCAGAAGGTCATAGAAAAGACTGTTTTTATTTTTTATTAGATTGTATTGTTTATGAAAAACAATCAATTACTAGTCTCTAAACAAAATAGCAATTCACCACCATTATCAGGGAAGCCTACTGAATTAAAATGACACGTTTTATGAGTCAATTCAAATCAAAAACAGAAATATAAATTATTAATTTTAAGATGCATGCATGTTACATTTCCTGATGAGTAACAAAGACCAAACCTCTCTTTCTTTTCAGGTATATTCTATATGTGTGCCTATCGGATGCATGAATGCCCCAGGAGCCCTAACTCTCATTAGAAGATTTAAACTATCATCAAGCCATGATCATGAGGGCTGCACCAAGGCCGGGTGAAGATTCTCACCATCAGATGCATGCACAGTTACCTTTGAAACATGAATGATCAAAGTTTCAGTTATTTCAATAAAAAGATTGGGGAAAACATGACTCGTCATTTCATCAACACTGTGCATAATTTACTTAATTTCTTGGCGTGATTTACTTTTCTGCCATTTTTTTGCCATTTGTTAACGTGGCTAACAGGTTTTATGTCACTAGCAGAGTGCACCATTCGGGCTTGACTTTATAATACTGTGTGTCCAAAGAGGTTTTAATCTGTAATACAAAATTAAGTTGAATACATACATCCTGATTGAGTTTTTTTTTTATCATGTTTGTTATTATGTCTAATGGAGAAGTACTACGAAATGTACTTTTCCAAATCGTTGTGGGGAAATGGGATGGAGACACACAAAGTAATATGTTTATTTGCCTATAAACTATATCCATAATTACAGAGTAATGAAACTTTTTTTTCATTTTTATCATTGTGGAGAAGGCTGCACGAGTGCTTACACTGAATGAATGATTACATTATAAAGGAATTATTGGAAAAATATCATTAAATATAAATACCATCAACAATGATTCTGTTACTAAAAGTCATTGTTTTATAGGCCGGCTTTAACACACTGCAATTTTTTTTTTCTTCATATTAAAAGGTTTCTGTAATTTCTCTTTTATAGAAATATTATTGGGTAGAAAGGACCTAGGCCTATGATGTGGTGGACATGGATTTGTATTATTGTTTACAAATCCATTATTGTTTACGAAAGCCCCAAAATGTGAACACTTTTATGTGGGTTACACTCCTACATCCATCCCTTTATTCCTTTGTTCTATCGTTCCCTATCAAGCAACACGGCTGCTTTGAAAACGATAAGCCTAGTATTACCCAATGCACTGCTGCAAACCTCTTATCCAAACGTGCCACTTAACGGAGTGACGCACTGCATGACCGGTTCAAAATTTTTACTTAATGAAATGGCCACAAAAAGCCGCTTAACCGCGCCTCACGAACGGATCCTTAAGACGATTTCATCACCATTTGTTTCATTTACTTTCTAATTTTCCCCTAAAAGCAACTTGTTATCCTGGTGCGCTCCATAAAGGGGATTGACCCGCAGCCAGGTGCAGCGGGGTTAGCTCCATCTGCTCTGGCCATGTCTTTAAAAGGTAGCCTATTTTCTTTTCTGCTGCTATTCCTTCACTTCATCTTGCATTATAAAACGCCAGGGATGACGTTTTTAATCTTGTAGGCTATTTCTTAAAAACCTGCCAAAAAAGTTTGTTTTCTGAATTATTGGAGTAGGCCTACTTGATGGAAACATATTATTATATTATAGTAGGTCTATGGCCTTTTAGAAGAGTGTGCACATTTGCAGCAGCGTTAGTCATGTGTGGGAGTTGTGACTGAATCGCATTCAGGTAGAACTAACAAGTCATGCCCAAAGGTGTTTGAGTTGTAACCATCCAACTACGCTCATTTACATTTTGAGCGCATACATCCATTTAACACAAAGTTAATGCAGCAGAACAGCGCTTTTCTGGCGTAACTGACTCCCAGTAATTAATTTGTTTTTCCTCCATCTGATCAAATGGAAATCCTGTCCTCCAGCCCAAGGATTACAACTTCCGCTCTAACATCTCCCTTAATTGCCTAATAGCATTGCAGCGTGAATTCTGCCTACATTAAGACACTTTCACATTAACCGGCATGATTGGAAATGTGATGACAACACCATATCAACAAATTATGGCGCACCGCTTTCTTTCGCAAATGGGCACAGGAGCGGCACTTGTACTCTCCCAGATTTTAATACCGACAATTACAGCCAATTTGGGTGGAATTACTCGACAGACCTGCAGCAGAACAATCCTCCTGTGACACAGGCTACATCACTTGATTCAAATCTAGGCTACTGGCATGAAGGGAGTGCAGAAGTTATCCGAGTAAATTTCCCGGACAATTAAAAGCATGTGGTCGCATGTTCAAGTTTCAAGACAAGACAATCTAAAGTTCTATGAAAGTCCATCATCTGCACGGAAGAAAAACTATATGAAATCACTGAGGCCCATTCATCTTGGAGGGATAGGCTATTGTAGAAATATCGAAGTGAGGCATTAAGAAATAGGCCTAGGTGTTGTATTAATTCAGTTAGCATTGATAGGAGACATACAGTCTAAGGCTATGCATGACATAGGCTACAAATATATAGCCTAGGCCTTAATATGTGTTTTACTTGCCCTGTGTAGTACCGTACAAGGAGCACTGCAGCAGTAACAGGATTTCCCTTCGGGGATCAATAAAGTATTTCTGATTCTGTTAACACCATAAAGCCAAATGACATAAAGTCGCTGTTACTTTGCGCTCCAACACATTGGTGTATTTTTTTCTATGGACAACGCCACTTTTAATTCACTATGAACAACAGGAACATTCAAATGTTTCAACCAGAGGTAGGCTAGCCTACTATAAAAACGTTACATTATCTGGTGTTTCAAATAGGCTATTTTGTTTTAGTTACCAACAGGCATATAGACCTGAAACGGCTCTAGATGTCTCCTTCCCGCGAAGGCGCCTAAAACACCAAAAAATACCACCAGACCAGTAGCCTGGACCTAAACGGAATGTTTCAGCACTATGGTTAGCGACTGCCTGCACCGACCAACCGGCCTCCTGCATTGCACTGTCTGTTCACAACGTTCGATACTCATTTTGTGCGGAAACTAGCTAGCCTTAATTTGGGCTAAATAAAGAATAACTCGCGCACGAGGCCATACAGTGCTCGCAAACCTGGTTGCTAGGCGACCACATAAGCACCGCTGCCGGTGGTGATCCGCGGCCGGTCCCGCTATTCAAATGATGCGGCCACAGGTGCGCTGCATTTCTGCAACGGTTTGCTTCTTTCAGCAGCCTCGAGCGCGTCTCAGCCAATCAGAGCGAAGAACCGGCCCCCCACATCGCCCCTCCGCACATACAGAGCTGTAATTGGCTGATGCGCAAATCAATTTCCCCATCCGCTACTCTCTCTAAATAAATACTTGTTGGAAATCTGCCCTCCCACTGGTGTCTCGGCGTAGTGTCATTCACCGATCACACACACAGGGGCTGCATTTAAGCCTGGGAGATTTGGGGGGAAGCGACAGAGCTGATGCAGGCTTAAAGGCAGGAAAATCCCAAAAAAACAAACTAACATCATGAGTATGAACTACGCGTCGGCGGCGCCCACGCAGAGGTCGACGTCGTTTTTCATTGAGGACATCTTATTGCACAAACCCAAGCCGCTGAGAGAGGTCATTCCGTCACCGTTCTGTAGCTCCCTGGCCTCCCGGATGCCCATTCTGGAGTATGGATATCCGCTGATGCCAACCCCAATCCTGGCGCCACATCCGCACCATCCTCTCCACAAGCCGGAGCATCACCAGTACTTCTTCACGTCTGGTAAGCACGGGGAGCTGGGAGGTGGAGGCCTAGAGCAGCAGGAAACTTCTGTCAGATAGTGTTAGTGTTAGGTGATGTTAGGCTACCTGGACTTATCAACTAAACTTACAAAAACAACACACATTTTTGCTTATTAAAGTTGGAAAACCAGTAGAAATGTGTGGATTTACCTTAGGCCTACATGAATGAGTATGGGAATATTACAGTGGTGGACGGGTTGAAACGAATCCCTTCACATGCAAAATGCAGGCGTGAAAGAAACTCTGATCTCCAATGGTTGAGCTTCACAGAAAATAACAATAACCAGTAGATTATTACGTTTATTTTTAAAGGATAGGCTATTAAGTTTTGATGTAGGTCTAAAATGTAACCTATAAATTATATATTTGTGTAGTCTATAGCCTACTTTTTTCATCTTAATGTGTCCAACCTTTAAAAGGCAATTCTTGTTGCTCTAGATATTCTGCAAATAATGAAGCTAAACTGAGTTCTGTTTTTACATTCACTAATGTTCATTATCAAGCTGGAACTAACCAAACGCCTGCTGACTCCGGTACAGTGTTTCTCTGAGTTTTTGTTTGTTTTCTTGTCCTTGAAAAGTTCTCATTTCACATCCTCGTCTCCTGCCACCTGTAGGGATGCAGATGCCGGCCTTGTTCCAGCACCACGCGGAATTACCGGGGAAGCACTGCAGACGCAGGAAGGCCCGGACGGTTTTTTCCGACTCGCAGCTGTCCGGCCTGGAGAAGAGGTTCGAAATCCAGCGGTACCTGTCCACGCCGGAGAGAGTGGAGCTGGCCACGGCGCTCAGCCTGTCCGAAACACAGGTAGCCTACACACGCGCGCACACCTGAAAGCACCGTGCTACAGTTAAAGCAGGATGTATGATATCTGCAGGGCAAAATGTGTGTTTCTAAATGTAGGTTCATTTGTTTGTTCTTCCCACTTATGGCTAAAAAAGGACCACAGAAACACACTCAAATAAAAACAATAATGAATCACTGTTGGATCTGTTAGACTGGCTTCTGTGAACAGGCGCTATAAATAAAAGTGAATTGAACTGAATTGAAAATCCATTCAGCCTATAGCCTGCTATAGTAGGCCTGTGAGAACAATGAATTTTGGCAAGATTTGGTTATATCATACTTGAAGAATTGCTGTTTATGTGTAGGCTAATTGTAATTCTAGGCCTAAATAAAATACATTCAGGTAGCCTACTAACAGCTGATCCTATTTGAAAATCTGCAGGTCACTCACTAAATACAGTAAATTCAATAATAACTATCATCTCTATTCCACAGACCTCCTCTTTCTGTGTTCTTTTCTGTGGAGCCTGTTTTGATATGTCTGAGGATTTCTTGGAGTAAATTGCGTATATTAGGATTCTTTTTAGAATTCACGCCGTCTTACATTCCCCCCTGCAGGTAAAAACGTGGTTTCAGAACCGGCGGATGAAGCACAAGAAGCAGCTGAGGAAGGCGCAGGACGAGCGGAAGACCCCCGGGGATCTGGAGAGGTCCGCGGACAACTCCAGCGAGAGCGAACTGAACGATAAGAGCGCGGAGGAGCTGAAGCACGGCCTGGAGCCGGACTCGTACATGCTGGAGGAGAACGACGATGATGTGGATATCGAGGACGACATTTGCTCCCCGGACCATCTACTATAGTAGGCTGCAGAGTTGTTTTCTAAGCAGCGACTTTCACACTGTAAATGTACTGTAGATACCACTGACTGTCTTTCCCTTCTATTCCACATATAAATTAGCCTACTGTTTAAAAATAATGTGGACGGGGGGCCACGCAAAGTGGGCCCATTGATTTTCTACAGTTGCCCCTTTTTCTCTGTGTAGGCCTATAGGCTATGAGACTTTCCTACTGTCATGCCTGGCGAGATACAGGATTTATGGCGCTATTATTATTATTATTACTAAAATATTATTATTAGTTTATTATGAAATTCCACACTTTGTATTTGTTGTTGTGTCTTTTTTTATTTCCAGATGGACAATTAGTACAACTTATTCTAAATAACCCAATCGAATAGCTCTTTGCTGTGTAACATAGCGCATCATGCTCTCCCATCCTCCTGCACTTTTAACACAAACGAAATTTTCCACGCTACTCTTTTTATTGTTAGGCTTTTTTTTTTTCAATGTGTCTACTTTTTTATATTTTATTTGCAGTTTGTCTATATTGTTGGAAGTTTTGTAAATCAAGTTTTGGTCGAAGACACTGCCCTGGCATTTTTATTTTGTCTGTAAATATATATATATATATAGTATATAAATAATGAATCGGTTCTCGGCTGCGTCTATTCTGTTGTTTTACAAGCCCATTTTCCTTTGGGGTTTACATTTTCATACCTGATTGAGGTGGGATGATTTACAAATGTCTGAAAAATAAACACATAAATATAGCCTACAATTAATGTTATTATTTAAGATGCTCACGTGCATTTAATCCTGTTCTTTCCTTGGTTGTTGTGACCACTTTCATTAGGGACCGGTCTCCACAACATGGAGTTCCGTTTAATGCGAGGCTGCGTGTTTTCTGCTGCTTCCCTGCAGCACGCTGCGCTCTAAGTCAGAGCAGGAACGCAAAAGACAGAAAGCAAGATAGAGCAATTACAGATAAACCAGAAGTGTGAATAAAATTATTTTTATGCATTCCTTACGAAACATACGTCTCCGATCTATGATCATTTCTACACTGATATTTCTTGTTAAATTCTGCTTAGTTGACAATTAAATTAATTTCAAAAAGAGCAGATTGTTTATTTTTTTTTCAGCAGACACAAAGTTACATGAAGGCGAGTGAATTTTATACTGAGCAAGAACAGTGAAAAGGTGTTTTTGTACGGCCTATTTTTGCATCAGTGCATCGCTACAAATACTTTAAGGCGTGGCACGTGCAGGCAATAGAATGCACTTTCTGTCACAGTGGTAAATGTTTGATGTTCTTAAGAAAATCAACCATGCCATGAGTTAGATGGAAATATGGAAAGTACATGTTCTGACCATCAAAAGAAACGGTTAATTTAATAAAATGAATAAAAAGGTAAAACTTGAATACCTCTGCTTACAGCAGTAATTTGTTTGTTTCCGTTTCTGCTTATGGGCATGTGTTGATGCTGAAATCAATAACTGTATTTGTCATTAATTTTGAGTCACTATCACTGTTAATAGGCTAAATGAATATAAAAGTAAACTATCTAAAACATTGCCATCACATTGCCCAAAAGCATGAAAATTAAATATGCTGACAATTTAGTATAGCTTAAAAAATCCAACATAATTCTTTAATATGTCCACTGTGGTGCTGAATATGGCTGTGGAAATATTTAAGTGCCTGCTTTTTTATTTAAATCAGCCATAGTCTAAATTCAGTTTTGCAGAAATGAGCAATATTAATAACACATTTATCATGGAAAGAATGGGGCAAAAACAATTCAATGATTCAAACCATTTTGGTATTTAATTGTCAGTGAACATTTTGATTTATCACATTAGTTATCTGAGGGTTTGTCCTGTTGTGTAATTTGGTAAGTTATCACATGGAGCTGGGATTTCCAGCAGCAGTGCAGTATTGCCTGTGTCCTAATCAATATAGTGGAGGCAAAAAAACACATCAAGATTTTTTGCGCTATTTCAGTGTTATTTCATTCATGCTGCAGGAGAGCTCATTCAGTTAAACAGGTGACCAGCATACTGTCTGTCCTCTTGTCCATAGACAAAGCTGCTGTAAATAGACTGTACTTGTATAGTCGTCCCATCACCCACCCATGTCATAAACCCATATTCATATTCCACTATATGTCATATTCATATTCATATACTCCCCATTGACAGCAGTTTTGGGTTCACTATCTTGCCTAAGGACACTTTGCAGACTGGATGAGCTGTGGATGGAACCACCAATCTTCCGATTAGAGGCCATGCAACATACATGGGCAACCCGCTCTACCTCCTGAGCCTCAGCTGCTGTCTTTCTGAGAATGTTATATCGATCTACTGATAACAATGGAGGGTAGCATTAATTTGATAACTTTCTGAAACATGTGTAAAACTAAGACACACACACATACTTTAGAATCTTAAAACAGCTTTTATTACACGTATTCAATCATTTTATCACAAGTTGAATCTCTCATGGGGCATTTGCACAATAATGTGCTGTCCTCTCTCGTCCTTCGCACTGGGTTTGCCATCCTTTCCTGCCTTTGGAAAAGCAATTCATGTCAAAATGGGATTCTGATTAACAGGCAGAAAGAAAGAACTAGACGCAGAATAGGCCATGCAGAAGGTGATCAATTAAAAGATTAAGCGTTTTGCAACACATGGACGCATCTGCATTTGGGCCTAATAGCAGGGCCATCAGCTCATTTTCAGGAAGCCTGCCGCCTACTGAAAGCGTGCTTCTCACATCAAAGCATCCACGTCTGCCTTAGCTTCCCAATGGGCAGAAAGGGATGCTAATTTGGCCCCCTTCATGTATAGCGCTGAAAGACTCCTTCAATTAACTAGATTTCAATGGCAAAAAACGAGTAGGTGGGACCTAAAAAAGATGCAAAGAGACTCAGTCTGGATAGGGAGCATTTCTCATTAAATTGAAAAGGGCTCTGTCATTTGTTTCCAGCCGCGCATCTGAGGACTTAACACTAAAAACACAGAGCTTCAAAGAGTCCATGATGGGTTAAATAGAGACTATAATCTAATTAAAATATTGCACAGAGGTAAATAGCGCTTTGATAATGATCTGAGGGTTCAATTAGTAAAATGGGCTGCTTGAGAGTGTTGTGTTGGGGAGGAGTTACTTAGAAAATGGCTACAAAATGTAGGACTAGGACCAAATCAGGTGAGCTTCAAAGTGCCATCCATCATTTGAGCAGGATTTTCTAGACGCTTAAGCAGAGGAAGGGAAAAAAAACAAACCCACAACAAAGAGTGTGTGGATTATTGTAGGTTAAACAGTGAAACCAGGTGTAATTGGGGGGGGGGGGGGGGGGGTGTTCTGGGATAGCTGGAAGCGGACTGTATAATTGTTGCTCAGTGTCACTGTGACATACTACGGCCACTTAATTTCATCAGGGCAGTAGTGAAGACAATAACACAAAATATCAGATACATACATATTCACTAATTTTACTTTTTCTAATGTCTTGGTGGGAGTGTAAAAACACTGTTTCACTCAGGCTGACCAAAATCTGGATATTGTGGCTCCAGCCAAGATTCAAGCACGCACACTGACCACTGTAAGAATATGGGTGACAAACTAGAAACATTTTTGATATTTGTTTAATCCATTCCAAGAAGCCAGACATTGAGAGAAACAAGGAATCAATGTCCAGGGCCAAAGCTGGGTTTTGCAGGAGTGCAACATTAGCTATCCACTTGCTATAATCATGCTTAGGCACTGAAAGCACACAGAGAGGGAGGCAATCAAAGTACTTTCTTTGCTTGGCGAAAGTGCTCACAACCTAATATCTCTACAAGACAGGACACAATGTCATCATGACATAAACTGTTACCAAAAAAACATTGAAGATAACATCAATAAAAGGGAACAATGTGAATAGTAAAGGTTGTTTTTCCATAAGTGTCATTGTAGAGTTCATACATTAATATATATATATTTATATATATATTTATTGTTTGTAAAATCTTGATAGTTACCTTAAAGGAAATAGTTATTAGTTCCTATCTTAACTCAGTGGCCTGTGTTCCTCAGCTAAAACCATGTTAACTTCCTGTTGCAAAATAGGTAAAACATGTTTTTAGAACCAGGCTTTCACTATTTTCACCATCTACTATAACCAGAAACTTTGTGAAAGCTCTGTGTCTGTTGGTGCTGACAGAACAGCACCCTCTATCAACATTTCTCTCAAATCTGACCTGGTGACACACAATGTTAAAAGCTGTATCTTTTGCTAATGATGTTGAAAACTGTGTGAAAATGTATGTAGTAATGATTTGTTGATGTGACACTAGGCCTAGCAGATGTTATGAGACAGCACGTTGTGTCCTACATCTTGGAGTACAAATATATGTGACATATGGGCATGGGTTTCACGACTGCTCACATGAATTACACCTTGCCTCAGACCGCATGAACTTTTCTGAAGAGAGCCACATCCTGCTTTTCTTGTTCATGTCGTTTTCTAAGGACTTCCAGTGTGGCCTGGGACCCGTCCAAGCCCTCCAAGTAAGGAGCTTGATCAGCGAAGCCTTCGGACTGGTGTTTCTGTCTCTGTTTTGGCTGTACAGGGGGTTTGGCTATGGTCTTGGCATATTCCAAGGCCTACAGGGGGGCAGAGAGATCCATGTACTTTAATGCACTTCCTAACTACTGTATACACGTTGCAGTCAAAACTACTGGTATCCTAGAAATGTCTGCAGAAAATCTGTCCTCCTGACCTTTCAAAAATGTCATGGTTGTGTTTCTCCAACACATTGTCACTCCCGACTCATCACATATTGACGCTTGTTCAAGGCCCTTTGGTGTCACTTGTGAATGCCCAGGGTACCCCTTTAGCGTTATTTTTACAAACAAATATGCAACGTCCGGTAAAGGCATGTAATTTAAGTTGTAAAACATTGCAGTTTGTTTGGGTTTAGGCACCAAAAGTACTTGGTTAAGGTTAGGAAAAGATCATGCTTATGTCACTTGCATGACTTATGCAATTTACATAACTCACGTAACTTCAAAAAAAATATTTAATGTTGACTTTTTGTTCCACACTGGGTCTGGGTCACGTTGGGTCTTGGCCATGCATCCGTATGTGGCGAGTCAGGGAGTGACAACAGGTTGGTTTCTCAAAGATACATGCCATGGTTTTATAATTTTGTTGATATATTAAAATAGAAAACAGTACATGTTATGTATGATTCTCAATCACTGACTGTGTAGCTGGGATTTCATTGTGTGAAACATTTCAAAATTAACGTGAAACCATGGTCCTGTCTCACAAAATGAGATTAGTGGGCTAGTGAGCTAACCATGCTAACTATGCTGCACAGCCTGAAACACACTAAGCTAAAACACTCTACTCACGGTAAAGTAACAAGAAGCCTCATACGGAGCACAATGCACAATCTTGGTTTTACATGACCATTTATATCCTCACACATATGAGAAATGTTTGTCACATGACCAGTTGGCCAATCTGGCTATAAAACAGGACTTCTAATCTGGTTTAATCCATAGTTGACCAAGATGACCTAGTAGTTGTTGGTAATGAATACAATTATGTTACACATAAATTGATGGTAAAATTATACAATTTTAGTGTATTGCTCTCAAATTTCATCAAAGCATGAGGCGACTTTGTGAATCAAAACGGTTTCTACCGACTTCATGATATATAAATAAACATATACATATAAATAAAACGTATGCAGCCTGTACCCTATTAGTAAGAGTTTAGGTCTTTAGACTTTCAGGTTTATTAGGCCAGCCATTTATCTTTCTCTGCAATACTCCTTCCTGTCTCAGTAAAATAACATGCTTACTTGTAACTGTCATGACATTTTGTGTTGATTGTATTCATTCATAATAATAATGCATTATTAAATACAAACACAACAGTTAATCATTATTCAGTATGTCACTGCATTAAATAATCATGTTTTGCTAACCAGCTTTGTGAGACTAGTTATCTAGGACAATTTTCAACAATTTTCTATTTAGTAAATCCACATAACTCACAAACACCCTGCCCCAGTTAAGGCTTTGTAAGACAGGCCCTAGGTTTGAACCATTTAGTCACATTGTCGTTAATCTCATACACTCTTTGTCATTTTGTTTAGTCACAACTTGTCTCTCTCGAACAACCACAAGCACACAATCCTGTTCTCAAAGAGACATGTGCTAGGATTCACACACATACACACACATTTAAAAATAAACACACACACACACACCTTCATCCTGGGAACTTTCTTGTCATTGCCTTCCGGGTCCTTGGCCGATAGAAAGGGAATCCTACTTATCTTTTTGTTCTGCTCGCGGATCACATTTGAATAAAGCCTCTGTCGTTTCATTTTCTCAGCATGATGATGGGGAAAGAGTGAGAAAAAATAGAGGTAGAGAGAGAGAGAGAGAAACAGAAGCAGATTATAAAAGGGGTTTAATTAACTGAGCCATTTCTCCCTTAAGGCCTTTCTCTTTGTGTATCCTCTCGACAGGGCCTCTCCACGCAGCCCAGAAAAACCAAGCATCGCCACCCATTCAGTGGGCCTATCAACATTTACACTATCATTCCCTAATAGGCTTGGCCCTGGAGATGCACAGGGCTCAATCTTGTGTAAATTGGCCAAACATGCTCACTTTTTACAACTGCGGATTAACAAAAGATATATCAAAGCACAAAGAGCACTTAACTCCTTAGGGGTACTCTCATTTGTAAATGTAGATTTATCTGTGGAACAGCATGGGAGCCTTTAAATGATGAACTCAGACAGCTGGAAGAGGGTCAGTGGATAAACAAAGACACTAGTGGACATCAGGATTTAGGCACAGGAGACTGACTGAAAGACAACTAATCACATTTGTCCAAAGAGATTCTAATCACTTTTTTTCTGTGTGACTCACTCCTTATAGCCAATATTGCCTAACAGAAAATGAATATAACATCCTTGTATGTAGGACAGCTTTTGTATTGTGTTCTTCTGTATCATCTTCTATATCTTGGCTAGAAGAGGCCAGAGAGGCTCTCAAAGACAGAAGGCTGAAAGATATGGATGCTACATACTGCAGTCTACAGATGGATTTCTGCCTCATATCAGTGAAAAGCTCTCATACGATGGATAAATTCATGTAAAAAAAATATACCAGGTGGCCTGGAACCTACAGGGACAGATGTGTGTCTACATGCTCTGCGTACTGGGAACAAAGACTGACTCCACTTTGTTTTATTTCTCTCTTTCTAGCAATCCTACAGTTTGTTTTAGATTATTTACTGCTTGTCAAGAGAAACGTTTGAAGAACATATGATGGGCTGCCATGTTACCCTTTTAATGTTCAAGACAGTCATTTAGGATTTTTTTTCATCTTGTTTATGATATGATTTTTCTACATACATCTTCACTCTATATAGGCTTTTTGATGTTGCAGTTTGAATGGATCCAAACTTGAATGCAATCGATTATACACTTGATAATTGAATTGTTTCCATATTATTTTCTGATCATATTCTGATAAGCTGCTCTGTCTGAGCAATCAGTGGCTGCAAACCAAAATGTAGTACCACCCTACGAAAACAAGTATAACCAAATTTACCAACATCCAACAAAATATTATCAATTCACAGCCAAGTCAATAAGAAAATGACATGCATGTGTGTGAATTATCCAGCAACATCTTAACTTATTTGGGCAGTTTCTGGAATAATGAACCCACATCAGGTATGGTTTCTGCTACTGTGACACTGACATTGCAGGTCAGTACTTACTGTCTTTTCAGCTGCTGTGTAGTCAGGACCCAGGCCTCGCAGGTTTATATCAGACTTCAGCTGCTTGTAGTCTTTAAGACTATATGCCTGAGAGAGAGAGAGAGAGAGAGAGAGAGAGAGAGAGAGAGAGAGACAGAGAGACAGAGAGAGAAATTGAAAGTTTGCAAGTTGACAATTGCGGGGCACTATTTGTGCATCAAACATCAAGACATGACACTTTTGATTACTTAATTTGATGTAGACTTTTGTCGAACTGAAATCCATTTGTTTTGATGGCTGTCAAAATGGCACCATGGCACAACAATAAATCACCTAAAGCAATTTTGATGCATTTTGATGTCTCTCATTGTGTTCAAATGGTGCAACAAAAAAACCCACTCAGGATACACCCGATGATGACAGAACCACAGAACCTCAGTGTGAGTGACACCATCTTTATCAAACATTTTGTGACACTCCTTCAATCTTGTGTGGCTGTCTCATTCGCTGCAGAAATAAACAGATAAATCACTGCAATGTAACAGGGGGCCAGAAAGTGCTCAGATATTTGAGGACAAATAGTCACTACTGCTGATTTACTGTGTACTGTACATGGACTACAATATAGACGTAGTGTAAAAAATGTAAAAAAATGTAAAATATCAGACAAAAATAAAAGTCACAAAATCTGATCAAATGTGGCATATACTGTTTGGGGGCTTTATAAGATGACACAGTCTGATTCTATTTTATGCTCAGCCACACATGGACAATATGGACCACAAATTCAACAACAGCAATATTTACTAAACACTGGACCAGAACATAAAGAAAACACATTCATTTACAGTGATCTTGATTAAACAACAGTGTGTGACGTCTTAAATTATACATATCTTGATCAATTTCTTAAATGTTGTGATTAGAGATGCAAATGGAACATAAAGTTCTATAGATCTACAAGTGAAAGTAGCTGGGAACATGATAAAAGCATATAGAATGGAGAAAATGGTATTCAAGTCCTTTTTTCTATTCATAAAATGCAGCAGCTTTACCATACCGAATCTCAAACCAAACTAAATTGAAAGGTTAGCAACCCTGAGTTGCCTAAGTAATAAATACGTTACCTCCCTGAGCATTTGTTGCATCTTCTCGTCAACCCACTTCCCTTCGTGTTTTTTTCAAGAAGGAAAGCTGAAAAAAATACATTACATTGTCCAGTCTCCTCCCTGAATCATTGTGTGACCTACGGTGGCAGTTCTAGATGCAGAAGCACTGGCAACGTTTTTTAGAGTCACACCTTTGAACTCACCAGCTGAAATGATCGAGCAGGATCCTCCAACTATGGCCAGAAAACTACACCCAGAAAGTTTACAATATACAACATTCTCTTATTATTTCTATTTCTCTATGTATCTTTATGTCTTGATGTGCAATGTGTGCAACTGTGACACAAGAATTTCGCCCTGGGGGTCAATTAAGTTTTTCTGATTCTGAAAGACCACCAAGTTATTAAAATTCATGCTGAGAAGAAACATGAATGTCTTAACAAATGTCACGGCAACCATCTGATAGTTGTTTAGACAAGCAGTTGTTTACCACATTTGTGGTATTGAGTGAAATGGTGGTGCTAATGGTGACACTAGAGGAAAGGGCTAGGGCATCACCGAAGTCAGTGGGGTCACTGGGAACCATGAATGTCTGCACACAATGTTGTGCCAGTCTATCAAGTGGAATTCTAGATAATTCACTGGGTAAGTGAAAAATTGAGCTGCTGGTGGTGCTAGATGAATAGCCATCACCAAAAGCAGTAGCATACATCCTCTGGGCACCATGGTAATTTCTATCAAATTTCATGGCAATCCATCCAAAAGTTGTTGAGCTATTTCTCTAAAAAAAAAAAAAAAAAACACTCTCATGGTATCAGGGGATTATCTAAGGCAGTAGGTAATGTCAAGGCAATCCATCCAGTAGTTATTGAGATATTTCAATCTGGACCAAAGTGGTGGACCAACTGACAGAACGGCATTGTGATTCCTGGAGCCATGTTACTATTGTGGCTAAAAACATTTAAAAACAGTCACTGTGTGACAATATGGAACTACAGTAACAGGACAATCAAGTTAGGCTCCACATTGCATGAGTCAAAACATTCATTTTATGTGTTTTCAGTGAACAGTGACCTTTTTGCTAATGCTTGTGAAGCAATTTTTTACATAACAGCATAATAATAGACTTCAAATGAGTTTCGAGAGTGCTTCCACAAAGAGCATTTTCTGAGATCACATAACTTGCATATTAACCTGTAACCAAAGCTTTAGTTTAGGATCACACACCCAACACTTTAACCAGAGGAAGGACATAAATAACCTTTAAAATCATTTTCAAGAATATTTACCAGAAAATAAACACATACAAAAAGCTGACTAAAGCGCTGGGAGTGCATCATCTGTTGTACAGACAGAAACGTAAATCACTGACAAAGCATGTAACAAATGAATTTGAGATGAGTAACAACAGAGATCCTGCACACAAACATACACTGTAGGACTAACCTGTAAAATTATATCTCCATTCATTTGTACTCGACATAATCAATACTAAATATATCTTCCCACTGCAAGAAAAAAAATCTTGTTTTTAACAAGGTCAAGATTATAGCAAATCTTTGGCAGTGGCTTTCAATTTCTCCCGGTAGGGTCCCCTCTCTTTTTCTTTTACCTTCTCAATTTCTTCCTTTCTCTGCAGATTTTACCTATTAAAAACTTTTTAACACCCAAAAGCAACCACTGTCGCAACCGGCAGGCTCACACAGAGCGTGTGCCTTTCAATATGGCGCCCCCGTCCCAACATGCAACACTGCATGACATACCTTCACATTCCCTATTGGTTACAGTGGTAATACTTCAAACATGTCAACTATTTCCGCCGCCATCAACCCAGTGTGTCAATAGGTGGAACAAGACAAAAACAAGGAGCAACACACGCTATAAACGATCCCAGCAGCATTTAGGCAGCCATTCCCAACTGATTCAATCAGGCCAAAAGAAATCACCACAGAGAACCAACCGCTGTTGCTGTGACCACAGGCGGCTGGACACCGGGGGCTACATAAAGCTTGCTGACTGTAACAGCACATTACCTTACCACTGAGATGAAAAGCCATGTTCTTCAGACACGCCCCCTTGAGAGTCACACCAGCAAGGATTTGGCCGAAGGGATGACGAGAAGAAGGAAGCGGAAGTGTGGAGCAAGCTAATGGAACTATTCCTGTGACTACTGACAATGCCAGGAATATAGTTAATGCTGTTGGAGCTGCTGGACTAGGGCCACAAATAGGGTGCTTTGACCCTGTCGTTAATCTAGCATCCCAAAAGATGGGTCAGGTATAGCTCCATTATTGTTTAAAGCAACAAAAAAAAATCCTACTTTATGATTTTAATTATAATTTTAATCAAGGACATTTCTCTGGCATTTCTTAATTTTTGCTGTATCGAAAACGTACCGAACCATGACACCACTGTATCATATTGAACTGAACCATGAATTTTGTGAACCGTTACAAACTTAATGACTGTGTCATCACGATCGTCCATACTGTAACACACAAAATCTACTGTACGTCTGCCCATCCTGGGAGAGAGATCCCTCCACTGTTGCTTTTCCTGAGCTTTGTAAAAAGGGTTTTTTTGTGAGGGGAGTGTTTATCCTCATCTGAATAGAGGTTATGTAGCCCATTGAAGCAAATGTGTGATTTGTGATATTGTGCTTTAAAAATAAAATTGATTTGACTTGCTAGTGTAAACATCAGCATGTTAGAATGCTAACGTTAGCATTTAGCTCAAAGCACCACAGATCCTTATTAAAACCTCACAGAGACATAAGGTGGCTGCAGACTTTTAGTACAGTGGCTTTGAGAGCTCAACAAACTGACAGTTAAGAAAACACATGCAAGATTAAGTAAACCAATTTGATAAAATATGCGCAGCATTTAGAAAACATGCTGCAAAAACAGCTCTATCCTAAAGTGAGACCGTCACCTACTTCTGGTGATCACTCACTCAGTCACTGTCAAAATGCGCATTTGCCGCTATTTTCCATTGTTTATGTAACTAGCAAGGTTCCCCAATGCAGTCAGGAAATTCTGGACCTAATAATAATAATTTGAAATAATACTGTGACTTCTAGCATAGTTTTTTTTCTGTACTTCTACTTGAGTATGAATTGTGTACTCCATGGCCATGCAAATTCAAAGAAAAAGTTTGTAAAGCAATTATTTAATTGAAAATGAAGTCAAATTTCAAGGAATTTGAAAAAAATTTTAAAAAGACATAGAAAACCAGAGATTTAACCAGAGATAATAACCATTTTCATCAGGGATGACAGACAGACGTTTGGCCTGTACTGAACATAGGAACGACCAGTTGCAAACAGCGAGTGCAAGGTTTCCTGCATTAAACCCCACCAGTATAAAAATGTTTCATCTTGATTCGGCTCTGATATGATATTGAAGTATTTTGAAAGGACACTGATGGAGAGCTGAAGTTCAAGTAATACAAGCTTATAATAAGGGCAACCACACAAAGAGATGTAGTGCATACCTGTGCCCTTGCAGGTGCTAGTGAAGATGATGATGATGATACGTGTGTGACCATATGTGCATATAATCCACAAGCTGCCCCAGACAAAAAGGATCATTCCGGATTGTACTGGCAGCTTTTCGAAGGATTTTTAGTTTGCTTTAGCCACGGACACAACAGGGTACTTTTCTTTCCAAGCCTTCTCCTCTCTCTCTCCAACCCCCAAGTCACGCTCATCTGCTTTCATGCCCAGGCACTGCTTCCAGACTGCTTTACAAATTGAGCCTGTAATCTCGTCAGACATGTTGGCTAACATGGTGGGAGAGGTGGGAGGTCAAGGGGTGGGGAAGGGTCCGGTTTGATGAATTTTCTAGCCTTTCTTGGGTACACCTATCTCAATTCAGAGTTATTAGCTGGTATACAATATTTTGCATCGTTTCCAAAACATTGACAATAAATTTGATGACAAATAAATATAAAATCAAGCTGTCTGTTCATGCCTGTATTCCCCTGTTTGGCATTTTTACCCTACTGGGGGCATTTTGGGTGGGTACTGTATTATTTGCTGAGAGCATGGCCAGCCATGTGTAAGGTTGTTACTATCAGGTGAGGGTAGGAAACTCAGCAAACAAAGATCACCTAAAGTTTTTTATTATGGCACAGTGAGAATTAACTAGCACAGGATTGAGTATTTTTGCTACCTGAATTTAAATATCCCTTGTACACTGATTTAACTGTTAACCAGAAATAAGTTAGACTTAATGAAGTACTTCTTAAAGCCAAGGCATAGCATCCTAATATGGCTAGCAGTGTATGCAACTACCATGGAAAAGGCAGGATGGCTGAGCCACTTTCTACTCATGACCCACCTGCACAGCTCAGCCTGGCAAACCAAAGAAGAGGGTGAAAAACAACAACACCCAAATCATTACATGCAAATGGGCATCTTTAGTGTCCCTGCTGCTCACCGACTCTCTCCCTTCTAATCACCTTATCCCCTAACACATCTTCAAATGGCTTTTCAGAGCCTGCAGCTCTGTGGTTTATATAGACATCGCCTTATAGCAATTAAGTGTATTTTAGTGGAGCTAGACAATTAACCTGATGTTTTGTGCCCTTAGTCACCAGAACACTCCTGCTGGATTTAAGCTGTCCCTGCATGGAGATATCTGAGGGGATTATTTGGGACTTCAAAGGGGCATTTATTTGTGTAACCTCTCGTGTACACGGGGATTAAAGGGGAATGCCACTCAATTGAAGAATTCATGTGTCACTTTTGTAATAAAACTGCATAATGAGTTCTTGAGCAGGATTATTCAGTATGTGTTTTGTGGTGGCTGATCTCTGTCTAAACAGTTTAAAATGCATGCAGTATTTTTAAATCTGTGTGACATCACAGATTCGATGGCAGACATACAGGCATACAATAACACACTGATGAAAGACAAATATAACATGTGTGAACATTCAGTATCCTTTCAGGACACAAATAAAGCTCACAGACAGACTAACCTTGTAAGTGACTCTCATCCTCAGCTGCTTCTGCTTCTCCATCTGAACCAGGTATCCATCAGAGCTGCTTCTATGAATGGGGTAGGCTGTGTTCGTACTCTGATCAGGGCTTAACTCAGGCTCTCTTACTGTCATTGGCTTTCCTATAGGGGGCAGAACTGTGTAAGAGCCCGGGCCCAGTGACGAAGTGGTGGTGGGTTTGCTCGGAACATTTCTTGGAAAGTGCTTAGTGTGAACCTCATCCGGCCACTTTAATGCAGAGGTCCTGAAACACAAAATTATTGGTAGATAAATAATAAGTGGTCCTATGCTATTAGATTACTAGGCAAAAATAATAGTTTTCATATTATATTATTATTTATATATTGCATATATCTATATTTTCTATTCATTTCCATGTGGTGTATCAGACACGTTATTTGTCATTACTTGTGTGATGACAAATAATTGTGATTGCAGTAGTCAATCTGACTGCTATTTAATGCCACAGCTATCCATTTCTCCCAGATCCTTCAAATGTAATTATCATCTTGGGTCTGTAGAAATAACTGTATAATGGTTCACCTTTGCCATTGTTCAGGGGAACTCTCCAGGTTTATGCGGTCATTTACTCCTTTCCAAGAAACCTGGGAGGAATTTCCTGGTTTTGTTTGTTGATATCCAGGAGACAATGCAAGTGCAGCATCAGACACAGGGCTGCAGTGAGGACAACCATGGAGAGATGTTGAGTTGATGATGGCATCCTGGCCCTTCTGCTGGAGTAATGGAAGTAGTTGGGAGGGAGTGTTGAGGTTGATGTTGAGGTGGATGGTGGGGGGCAAAGGCTGTGATGAAGTCGTCTTCAGAGGTTTCGGGTGAGTTTCAGCAGCTGTTCTTGCTAATGGGGAGCTCAGACAGTCTCTCTGTTCAGCTCTGACCCATGGGGCGGGGGGCTGCTTTTGAGGGCGGTGGGAGTATTGTTTCCGCTGGGCTTTTTCCCCTTCGCTGATCTGGGTGACCTGGGGTTAGAGTAGGATTAACAGTTTGAAGATAAAATCTTTTCATTGTAGAATGTCAGAACAATAAAATGTTACTGATATAGACAGAATTGATTTAAAGGATTTCATTCAAAAAGAATATCACGTTTTTCTACACAGACCACCACCCAAACAGAAACCAGTAATAACATATATCGTCACTATCCCAACTGGAATACTGTGTTTTAACGACAGCAAACAACCTAAATATGGGTCTAATTTTGGCACTGCCATATTCAAAGACAGTTGTTAGGTATTTTTAACACTTCTGCTTTGCGTTAGAAATGGTAACTTCCAAAGTATAGCTTGGCCTATGTCTGAAGGTGCTGTGAAGCACCAAGCATCAACTCTAAATCTAACCATTTACACCACAAAAACAACAACAGACAAACATGAGCTCTAAACAAGGGCACAATTCTTTCCCATGTGTAAGAAGGGCTGGCGCTCTTCTATGCATCATCTCACCAAATTATTTAGCAGGAGGTCTATGAGCGTGTGTCTCATGCATCTAATGCAGCTGATTTAGCAAATACCAGCTTTGTCCATTCCTGTGGGAAAATATTCATACTCCTCTGCTTGGCAGCGTTAAGGTGGCTGCTCAAGTGCTCAAAATAATAATGCTTCTCCAATCCTCTCCTTTTTCACTTCGACTTTTTATTTATGTAAATGGTCTCTGGCAAGCTCCAGTGCAACAACGCCATCAGTGATTGTGCCCACATTCCCTAAAATGAACTAAAATCCAGGGTGATAGATAGTGTCCCTACTGCAGCAGCTATGTGGCCCTTGCTGGAACTTAAGTGATGATCCCATAAAAACTATATTAAAAAATAAACTAGATTTTCACACTATTATTTGGGATGACATGTCAACCAGTGAAAAATAGGGGGGCCCTACCCTCAGCTGCTGTGTTCTGTGGAGCCACCTCAGCTTGGGGTCTGAACTGTCCTCTTGACTTTCTGTGCTGGCTGTCTCCTTAAGAGTTTCATGCTCCTTTTTAACAGAACAAAAAGAGAAAGCAACACGCAGATACAGAAGAATGTTGAAATAAAAACTTCTTTAGATATTTTTTTCATCTCTACCGGTACTGAAACCTTTACTAAAGCCTATTAAAACCTACACAGCTCCTACTCAGGGGTTCCAATACCAAATCCAGCACTATCAGTACCTGTCTTCTTCTTGGCCACATCATTATATCCATTTTGCTGTTTCAGATATTATGTAATGTACCCGTTCATTTAGTTAACTTCAGGACTCCCCTCAGTGGCAGAGGACCATCTGAGTGGATCAATAGTATTGACAGGCTGAAGACTTTTTCACTGAATGCCGCTAATTCTGTGAGCTTGAATAGGTGAATGTCACAAGGAATGAGTGGATCCAATTGTAACATATCCATCAATAAGTGTGTTTGTGATTGCATCTAACAGGCTGAGATGCTACTCTTATGCTGAGAAAAATGCAGTGCACTGTCGGACAAACCACCTAGACTTTAGGCTTTTTCAATATGTAAGCTGCATGGTCGTTTGTCTCAAGCTTTTAAGCAAATATTTTTGATTTTGGTAACTAACTGAACCAATCTTTTTGAAATTACAGAGAGAATTTTAGACATATGGGTGCTGTTACAGATGATCAATAAGAACAGAGCAGTTTGAAGATCAGGAGCAGGTGTCCGTGACTACTTTATGTCCAGCAGTGTACACACTCACACACAAACACTTTTGGCCTCTCACCTTTACCCATTCCCCCTGCCATTGCCTTTTGTCACCCATTATAAGCATCCCAATCAGTTGGAGCAAATGATCAAGCCTGTATTGCATTTTGAGCATGGTAAGCTGTGTAACATCTTTTCTACTAAATTGGGAGGCCCGTAATTGCTTCTCTGCAAGACGATGTCACAACAAAGTCTGGCAATTGCAGCTAGCTGTATTACCTTCTGTACCCGGGAAACATCTGCTTTTCGCAATGAAGACTTCAAAGGGGCTGTGGATCTTGAATTGCATTTAGCTGCTATTGTGGCCAGCCCAGGTAATCTTGATTAGGTGTTTAGACTGAGGCAGGGTATACAGTGGCAGAGAGCTCCCCAGAGCTTTGGTCTAAAGCTATTAAAAGATTGTACATTATGTTCCCCTGGCTTTGAAGTGAGGGCCTGCGAGAGGGGAAGGGACTCTAAGGGGTGAGTGCAATAGCAGAAGATTGATCTGCTACTTCTGTCTTTATCAAAGGAGGCCCAAGCCCCAATGAAGCCAATCATTGCTACTGCCACTCTGCCACTTGGCTCGGCTAAACATTTGCTGCATTAGGAAATTGTGTACATTTAATAACACGTCTAATTATCACAAGTTGCCTTCAGATGGCCACTTTCTTCAAAAGACCAAATGGGATATTTTAAAAGGGCCTAGTAACAACCGGCTTTTCTGGACTCATATTGATTTGTGAAACTGATTCGATTTGTAAATGGAGTGTTGCTATCTTTTGCAAGGAGCTACAGACAAGGAAAGGTGGGAGGAAGCAGAACAAGCTTTGTGATAAAAGATGTTGTTATCCTAATTATGAAGAGCTGTTTTTGTTTTTTTAAGATGTCTCTCTCAACGACAACAAACAAGAAGGAGAAAAAAACTCCAATCTGAACAAAAGACATAACCAGACCATGCTGTTTTAATGGCTAATTAGATACTATGACTCAGTAGACTCAATATAATGTTTGTGTATTTGATTTTAGTGTGCATTTTACAGTTAAACACAATTTACCTTGAGCACTTGCCACTAAGTCACTTAATTCAGCCTCTATTCAGTCTCTTCAGACTTTCTAAAGAGTCTTGGAGCTTTTGTTTTTTAGAAACCAGCTCGTGTTAACACGTCAGCAAATAAAGAATAAGTCTTAACTTCACACAAATCTCAGATGTTAATTCTGTTTTTGGATGGATAGTCAATGACAATGCTGCAACTGAACTGCTCAGAAACTGTCTAAAATGTGGTTTAATGGCTTTGTTGATACATTAAAACGTAACGATACCCAATTCATAGATTATTTGTATGATGAAACAGGAAATAAACTGCATGCAAATTGGTGCCCCTTTCTTTTATGCCCCATGTCCCCCATTAAGTAAGACACGTCTTTGGGGAGACAGGGCAATGGAAAACTAATAAGCGAATTCAGAGGGAAAATGACAAAACACAAGGGTTCAGGAGAGGGAAAGGCTCTGGCTCTGTTTACCATTGCACAAAGCTAACGGCTCTTGACTATGTAAATGGTGATGATATGAGACATTGTAAAGGGCTGGGGCTCAGATGGGTGAACAAGGTTGGGGGTATTATAGCCAACAAACAGTCTTGTGGCCCGACAAATGGGGAATGCGGGCCATCCCGACCAATTATGCCACTGTGCCAGGTGCAGGGATGTCTAAGAGCCTATTGGTAACCATGCGTCTCTGATGTTCGTGTTGTACACATCAACTCATAATAAGCACTGCATAGCCAGACATGGCTCTTTTCATACGGTGGAGGAGAAGGTAGACGAAAACAGCGATGCTCTTCTGACAAATTAATTTTCCAGGCTGGGTCAGAGCAAACATCATTGAATATTCTCTTAGTTGTTGTCTGAGATGACAATAAAAAGGTATACAAATACCAAAAATATTGCTAAATGAACATAAGCTTGGCTGATGCCCAAGGAAAAAAATAGAAAAAAAATACAAAGATGCAAACTATGTTGGCCTATATTCTGCTCATGAGAAAAGCTGCAAAACACACCACAGCACTATCACCATCATCATACGCTAATACTACAAAAGTTATACTTACTGCCTAGAACATCACAACCTTGCCAATAGCCATTTGGCCCCAATACTCTCAAATCATACCTACAAGCAGAATCTGCTTTGTTCATTTCCAAAACAGACCATCAAAATTGCAAAATAAAAACTTCATAGAGACCAGTAAATTCAATAGATACAGGTGATCTGCCATCACCAAACAATGAGCTGGAATCTATGGGACATTACCAAACAGATCACAAAAACATGTGTAAGATGTCACAGTTTAAACTGGGTTTTAAATCACTAATATTTTATATTTTATTCCAATATTTTCAGAGGCCTGTCCCCAGTCAAACCTAATCTGAAGTCAGGTAAGTGTAACAATAGCTTGGCGGCCCAAGAATCATTATCAATGCTAGTGCAGCTCCTGGTGTCTGTTTCTGTAATTGCAACCTGTTTCAACAGAGAGCCTGCTGAGAGTGCCCATTACAGATGGGTCTGAAAGTTTGTTGTCACATTTCAAAGATCAAATTCTTTTTGGATGATTTTAAGCATAAGCAGATGCAGTTGAGAAAACTCTGTGTGTATGTTCTATACACACCTTCTTCACATTATGAGGCACCTCCTGCTTAAGTGCATGCACCATCACATATGAACCACATTTGGATGTGTTGCGCCCCAGGGTTATTTTGTTGCGTTCCACTATGTCCTCTATGGGTCTTTCTAGCTTTTTGTTCAATAAAACCTCAGGACTCTTCAATGTGGCCGTATTTATTTGCTGTGTTTGAGTGGGTCTTCCTTGTGTGAGTCTCAGGTCTTGCTTAAATTTTTGGATGTACACAGCATGTATATCCTCTGTCAGCTCAGGAAATCTGCTAATACTTTCATCAGCATTATAACAGCTATTTTCATGATTCTCTCTGAATTCTCTCTGTAAAGTGTTGTCACTTTCATTTTTAGTGAACATGCCGGGTGACCTTGAAAAGTCAGCATTGGGTAATCTAAGTTGAAAAGCATTGTTGTGACAGGGGGGAGATGTTACTGAGCTAGTCTGACCATCTTGTGGGTGAAGGCGGTTCGGTAGGTTAGACTCAATGTCAGCCATATGATGGGTCACCACAAGAGCTGGGCTTGAGTTGACCATGTATTTCTCTTTAGGGACTTGATAATATTCCTCAACGGAAATCTGCGGACTGTCATTGAAGCGGCCGGCCCCCTTCAGGTTGGTCCTCCAGTTGGGATCATAGCGCAGGTCAGAATAGGCGTCATCAGAGAGCGGGCTGCAAGGTTAAAGAAAGACAATAGCAATAAACATATGTTCAATATACAACTAGCCTGGAACTGAATTATCAAAGAAAATGTCCATATATGTGCAGTATAGTCTTAGTCATATTATGAGTAACTGATTTAATTGTTGGTAAGTAGCTTTATTAATGACATTTCCATATCCAAAGGAAGTTTGACAGACACCAGAATGGCTCCATTGGCCTGTAGTGAGAGGTCAAAGGAACAAGAGGCATTACACCATTATTAAAATGATGATGTCCTCAAACAAAGAGAGCTAAGCCTTATCAGAGACATCTGAAATTGAAACAGATGAGGGGGATTATGAGCCTGTATTTACAGATAATTTTCGTATTTTCACCTCCAGGCTCACTAATGAGAGTGTATTTGAGAGCTACTAGCGAGGGAATGGTTCGCAAACGGCAATTTTCAGCTTATGAAATGGCTTGAAAATTGCAGGCTAAAATGCTCTTTCTGATGGTGATGAAAAGATCTCATTAAAATAAATAGCAGAGAGCCTCTTTGTTGTGCTTACAGGGAGGATGAGGGGAGCCTAATTCTCCCGTGATGTTGTGCACCAAGGGGTGGGGTGGGGGGTGGGGGGGCTGCCTAGGTGTAGGGCCCTTCACTTCGATGAGGCCAAAAGGGTAAGGGATGTCTCTCTAATGACTCAGACTCACACAAGTTGGAGAATGCATTATAGACAACATGCAGCTGGGTGAGATGCCTCTTACACTAGCAAAACACCACAGCCTATTATTTCTTGCCCAAGATGCAGACACCTAAATACAAAAGCCAGTGAAATATTGTAACAAACACTGAATGGGAAAATGAAAAAAACTGGTCATAAGGACTATACTCAAATATCCTTTTGCAATATTCCGTGTGAGATGGTGTAAATATAGTGAAGAGAGATGAATGGAGTTGCTTAAATACGAATCTTTTGCTTGAATGAGGAATGCCCATTGGGTTTGTAAACTATGCAATGGCAATGTGTGAAAAGGCTTACCCACTTTGAGTAGGCAGTAGAGAGGACTATGAGAACATGATGATGGGAATGGGACTGTGGCCACTGCCTTGGCTCTATGAAATGGAGTCTTTTGTGAGAGTATGTCATGGTCATTTTCCTCTGAAACAATGTACTTTGGAAGTGGACCCACACTTGGCGGACATCAATCTGCACGGGTTAATGAAAGGAAAATAGAGTATGCCCCTTTTCTATTTTGGAGGGAAATGACTATCAGGCAGTGTCTGAAGGAAAGAGAAGAGGAAACAACGGTACGAGTCGACAAGAGTGCAAAAACAGATGTGGTGTTGTCCTCCCCATAGACGCTTACCTCTGCTCAGTCAAAAGAGAGAAAGAGAGATCTCCTTTACAGCAACAATGATCCTTGTTAATGGACCTCGAGTGACCACTTATTGTGATCCACCCAAACAAAACAAAAATCTAATTTCCCTCAAATGAAAGCTGTTATTCTGAAAGCACCTGAATTAGGCCATTCTTACTACAATGTACCATTGGTGTCTGCATCTCATTAAATAGATGACACCATTTCATTGTTAAGTGATGAATGAAGGCTATTTATCTTTATCATCCATGTGCTGTTTAAAAGTAAAAGGTTTGATTGCTGCTGCCATTTTCCTTGTTGTATTACATCTAAGCAGCACTATTATCTGCTTAATTTTAATTAATTTATCACAGACACTGAATGTGACAGTCCGGTTCAATAGGCAAATTGAACAAGGTCAGGCACAAATCTCATTGTGGTGAATAGCTTATATAATGCCACATGTATAGAGAAGTATTGTGATATACAGAGCTACACAGCCAATAATGTAATCAGTCAGATTCTTTTCATGTCTATACCCCATCCAATAACCACCCAATGTAAAACTGAGTTTTCCATACATGCGCATACTGTTATTTTTATACAATTTTCACCAAAAATAAAGACTGCAGGTTCTGTTTACCAATCCTCAGAAATTGTGTCATTAAAATCAATTACTGCCATCTACTGGCCAAACAGCATAACTCTATATCAGAATGTTTTCATTTTAGAGTCACTTCAAGGATAAGTGGTGATATTCTTTGTTTTTCTTATTGTCAACAAATTCAATAAACCAACAATGATTGTCTGTGTATCCAAAGCCTGATATACATTGCATTCCTTCCAGTTGTCCAAAAACTATTAAAAACACATGAGCTAGACTGTGACACTTGGTGACATGTTCCTTTATCACCATGAACACGCACACTTCGATTCAGCGCCACATGTACATCCTGCTGCTGTAATTAACTGCTATTGCATCACAAAATGCGCCCTTTTAAAAAAATAAAGTATATATTTGTAACCCATTTTTATAGATTTACATCTTCAGTAGGAACTTGCCTGAGTGACACAGACAGAGACGGACTAACACATTGTTGGTATTGGTTTTGGCATTTTCATGGAGTTCGTTAACAGAAAGAACAGAATATCACCTTTCTTTTACCACAAGCCTAAATCCTTGTTAAGTTATAAATTTGCCACAGTGATATAAAAGTGTACTCATTACAGCCTGATACCATTGTTAGGAGTTGTTTCATGTGCAGCAGAACACACTTCTGACCACAACTAACTGATGCTGACTGTGCCCTGATGTTATTTTGAATAGCATAATTTAATTGCAACACCAGATGAGTTACTATTTGAAACTGATGGACAACTGGAAATTGTGTAACTTACCTTGTTCCTTTTCTCTCATCTATTTGTGTATCCGAATATGCAGTCTGTAACAGTCTGTTTTTCTTGGCATGGGGCTGTGCTGCTACTTCAAGGCTATCATAAACCTGAAGACTTTCATCAACATTTGCATCTTCATCCTCTACATCTCCATGCTGCTGTTTGTAAGCTCTCTCCTGGGCCAAGCTCTCAGTGTCGGACTCCACAGAGTCCCACTGGCTGGCATGAACTGCTCCTCTTGGAGAAGGATGCTTCTCTTGCTCAGTCTTCAACACTTGACACACCTCTTCATGTTTGAGTCCTATCTCCATGTTTATGTTGTAGGTGGACAGTGTGCTTCATGAAGAGCTGATCATCTATGTGGTAACTTTCAAACACTGCAACAAACCAACAAAATAATAGCTGTATTGTTGAGGAGCAGAGAGTAAAAAGAGCTAAACAATGTTGAGCATTCCTGTTTTATTTCATGGGTCTTAAATACACATTTCTGTCTAGGTAAAGTGCAGGTCTAGAGCATATAATATATTCCAGTAAGCAAATCTTCTGTTTGTACTTTTCTGACAACTCCAAGAAAAGGTCAGAAACAACCCAAGTTCTCTGTCACTGAATGCCTAAATATGTATCGGCATTGGCTCAAACATGAGAATGCTGACAGTCTTTTGAGTCATCTTTTATACACAGCGTAATGTTCAGGTAGCTTGTTTTACCAGCCTCAGATGAGGGATTGACCCTTATTTCTGCAGCCAAAGCAGAAGTACTGGTTGTACACTCTAAATGTCATCTGGAATATGCTTAACAAAGTTTCCTATACAGATGCTCAGTAGTAGTAGCAGTCATAGTAGGAATTTACTAATAACATCAACGATTACTCCATTCAATTTACGTTTCCAAGTAAAGCCAAGACTTGTGAGTCAGCATTAACAGCACTAGGGCCCTGGAACTGACACACCTACATGGATTGTAGCAATCATCAAGTTATTGATTAACACTAAGTTACCAGGATTCAACCAGTCAAACTGTCTGCTGTTAAAAGGGCTGAATATCTATCTATCTATCTATCTATCTATCTATTAGTGCTTCACTTTGATAAACTAACGCTGTTTTCAAGGAAATCACAATAGGAGCACCTTTCTTTCATCTTATACAGACTTGTAAAAATATGAGTAGCCTAGCCTTGAACTGCATGTTGGAAGATCACTGTTATATTTAACTGATTACGAACGCAATTCTAATACACTCATTTCTAATGGGCTAAATTTAGTTAAATGAAAGCGTTCGTCTATTTGCGGGGCAAAAAACCGACAGCCAAGTAAAACAGAGAGAAAAGGTTTTAAGAATGGTTTTCTTCAGCGTGGTGCTCAAACCAAAGGACAAAACGAGAAGGGTTGTAGCCTAAATGATACCGTTCGCGGAGTGGGAAATATAAGGTAGACTTGTTTCAATGATATGTTGCGTTAGAATAAAGCTAACTGGTCTCTTTCAGCTAACTTAGCTTTGCATCTATCATATTTTGCCAATCCAAACAAGCGTAGGGGTAAAAACAAAACTTCAGTTCAGACCACGTAAATATACTTATAACTTCACATGAAGAACCCCCACAGAGTAAACCTTGTATTAATGATGAAACATTCAGGGTAAAGTAAAGTCGTTCAGACTCACCTGGTGTCCTTTGTCATACTCTCCACAGCAATGCAACCATGGCAACGCCGAAGCACACAAGCCTCCTTCAAGTGCTCTTCATAAAGATCGGACTTTCACTCAGTTCGCGGCAGACATTTTGTCTGTCGGAAAAACAGGAGTCGCTAAAAATAATGACTGCTTTAACTTAAGCATTCAATAAAATGCTAGAATCCTGTCATCCATAAACCACACTGGATGCAGCGTGTCATTTCATGGCATCTGTTTCCATGGCTCGTTTGTCTGCATTCTTGTGGTATTCAGGGACAAGGGATGAAATAGCCGTTGGCCAGTTCTGGTTAATTAATGTATACTGTCCTTGTCCCCATCAGTACAACTGTACGTTATTCTTCCAACATGTCACCGGCACGCCAACACTTTCTGTACTGCCGAAAGTGTCACCTAGATATTAGTTCAATGTCTAAAGAGACATTTATACCGACAAGTCTTACACCGATAGCTACACGAAAAGCTGTTTGTCCAGTAACTTAGCCCGAAATACACTGGTGATGACCTGGCCGTAGTTTTAGTCCAACTACACTCCTTTGTCATTTGTCCAAGAAGCTACAATGTCATACAACATGGACTTATATCACAGGTCTCCAATATTTCAAACCCCTCCTGTAAATTAGTTTGGTACATGGCTTCTCCTTCGTTATCAGCAGTCTACAAGACAATGAACACAAGTTTTGAGTATGCACCAAGCAGTAGCAATAAACATTATACCACTGAGCCAATTTTAACACAGAGTGGATCAATCAGCTTGGAGCTCTGCAGAGCAGGAAAAAAAAAAAAAGGAGATGACTGAGGGTTTCAAGATTTTTTTTTTATTGTCAAGGCAGTGACCTCTCAGTATACCAGACACTTTACATGTGAACTGACAGCTCAACTGTGCCAACAAGTTGCTCCTCAGTTGTGTCGCAAACAATGCAATGAGTGTGATCCCTTAACCCTGTTTTTATTTCTTTAAATTACACTCTTTAGCTGTTGTAACGTGTGCTATAAGAGGGTTACTTTCTTAGAAAACATCTCAGTAGCAGCTGAAGTGATGGAATGTTTAGTCGACCTCCTCAATGGTTGGTCCAGAGGATCCACCACCAGGAGCGGCACCACCAGCTCCAGGGAAGCCACCAGGCATGCCCTCTGGCATACCACCAGGCATGCCACCAGCACTCTGATACAGCTTGGTGATGATGGGGTTGCACACCTTCTCCAGCTCCTTCTGTTGATGTTCATATTCATCCCTCTCAGCAGTCTGTAAAGAAGGACATTTTAGTGTTAGAAACAAATTCAGGTCATGGGGAAAACAAACCACACAAAACCCAGAATATTTACCTGGTTCTTGTCCAGCCAGCCAATAACCTCGTTGCACTTGTCCAAGATCTTCTGCTTGTCTTCATCACTGATCTTGCCAGCAAGCTTTTCATCCTCCACGGTCGACTTCATGTTGAAAGCATACGACTCCAGGCCATTTTTGGCTGACACCTTGTCACGCTGGACGTCGTCTTCAGCCTTGTACTTCTCAGCTTCTTGGACCATGCGTTCAATGTCCTCCTTGCTGAGACGACCTGGGAGCAAACTGCAAAGTCAGAAATTGTGGCCCACTACATTTGAAGACAGCTCAACTTCAACTCAAAGCTCACCCTTGTCATTGGTGATGGTGATCTTGTTCTCCTTGCCAGTGCTCTTGTCTACAGCAGAGACATTCATGATGCCATTGGCATCAATATCAAACGTCACCTCGATCTGGGGAACACCACGAGGAGCAGGGGGGATGCCTGTCAGCTCAAACTTGCCCAGCAGGTTGTTGTCCCTGGTCATTGCACGCTCACCCTCATAAACCTGTTGGACGTATGCAGGGTTAGCAAACAATTGAGACACATGGAACAATTTTGCTGCCAACTTTTTCGCTCAGACATCCAAGGAAGGTCAGGGCCATCTTTGGTCTTGCGACCTCTGGTGGAAACTACGAATGGCAGGAATAAACGTCATCACTGCGAAACTGAGAGCTGGGTTTAATTTAATGTTGTGCTTACCTGGATGAGCACACCAGGCTGGTTGTCAGAGTAGGTGGTGAAGGTCTGCGTCTGCTTGGTAGGAATAGTGGTGTTACGTTTGATCAGGACAGTCATGACACCTCCAGCGGTCTCAATTCCCAGGGAGAGAGGGGTGACGTCCAAAAGCAGCAAGTCCTGGACATTCTCAGACTTGTCACCAGACAGGATGGCAGCCTGGACAGCTGTAAATAAGGGCGGCTGGTTAGATTTTGAAAGGGACTGAAGGTGGATATTTTTCATGTTAATCTCTTAACAATTCAACAAAAATACTTCTCAGTAGAAATTTATATCTGGAGCTCTAATTGGATGGAAATGTTTGGTTTACTTACCAGCTCCATAGGCCACGGCTTCATCTGGATTGATGCTCTTGTTGAGCTCCTTTCCATTGAAGAAATCCTGGAGCAGCTTCTGGATCTTGGGGATACGAGTGGAGCCACCGACCAACACTATGTCGTGAATCTGCCCTTTATCCATCTTGGCATCACGGAGCGACTTCTCCACAGGGTCCAGGGTGCCACGGAAGAGGTCAGCGTTGAGCTCCTCGAAGCGAGCCCTGGTGATTGAGGTATAGAAGTCGACTCCCTCGTACAGAGAGTCGATTTCAATGCTGGCCTGGGTGCTGGAAGACAGGGTGCGCTTTGCCCTCTCGCAAGCGGTGCGCAGGCGACGGACAGCTCTCTTGTTGTCACTGATGTCTTTCTTGTACTTGCGCTTGAACTCTGCAATGAAGTGGTTGACCATGCGGTTGTCGAAATCTTCACCTCCAAGATGAGTATCTCCAGCAGTGGACTTGACCTCAAAGATGCCATCCTCGATGGTCAAGATGGAAACATCGAAGGTGCCACCACCAAGATCAAAGATGAGAACGTTCCTTTCAGACCCAACCTGAAATTAAGTTAGTAACATTTAAAATCTACTCAGTTATGTTTTATTACCTCAATTCAAGATGGTACATTGGCCATCATGCAAGTGTAATTGGAAGTTTTCTAGTTTTATTTACCTTCTTGTCCAACCCATAGGCAATGGCAGCAGCGGTTGGTTCATTGATGATACGCAGGACATTGAGGCCAGAGATTGTGCCAGCATCCTTAGTGGCCTGGCGCTGGGAGTCGTTGAAGTAGGCGGGTACCGTAATTACAGCATTGTTGACAGTCTTGAAGGGAATAAGAAAAAAATTAGCATCACTTCATATAATTTTATATTTGGAGTTCTGTCCAGAGCTATGCTAAGTAACATACTTTTCCGAGGTAGGCTTCAGCAATCTCCTTCATCTTTGTCAGCACCATAGATGAGACCTCCTCTGGGTAGAAGGACTTTGTCTCGCCTTTGTATTCAACTTGAACCTTGGGGCGGGTGTTATCATTGATGACATTAAATGGCCAGTGCTTCATATCTGACTGCACAACTGTGTCGTCAAACCTGCGGCCAATCAGTCGTTTGGCATCTGCAAAAGACAGTTTAGGGTTTAATGGAAAAAAAATATAATATGCTCTGGGCTTCCTTTAAGAATATCACTCAGACATCCAAGGAAGGATTTGGGCCATCTTTGGTCTTTCAACCTCTGGTGGAAACTACGAATGGCAGGAAAATCGTCATCACAGTGAGGAAGTTGTTTAATACGGCCACTTAAGATTTCAGTCTTGTTCCATTCTTGCCTCGAGT